ATCCCCTGGAGCTGGAGTTACAAATGGTTGTTTCACACGTGTACTGGGAGCCAAACCTGAGTCCTATGTAAGTATAGCCAGTTCTCTTGACTGCTGAACCATGTCTCCAACCCCTGGCATAGATTTTAGATTATACCGTCAGTAACTTTTAAGTATAAAGGACTTGTGGGCAGGCTGAAGTTCTATGATTCCTCAATCTGGTTTCCATTGTCTTTTGCTTAATAATAGTATAAAATCGACTCTTGTGATAACTATTTGTTCAAGAAAGCCTTTATCTTGGTAATTAAGTTAGTTGGGAAAGACCTATGGAGACTTGGAGACCTGCACAGGGTGGACTGTGTGGAGGAGGGATAGGTTGGGTAGGATGAAATTGGGAAACATCTTCCTTTTCTATGGAGCCTTTCACAGTGGCCCCCTAGCACAGCTCACTGCACAGTTCTTAGTAACTGCCACCCTTCCCCGGTAAGTGCTTCCTTTTAAGGAGAGGTGTAGACAGAAGTTTCTGTCTTGCCTGGTCTCGCAGTCATTCAGTCCCAACAAAACACACAGAGGCTTATATTAATTATAAACTAGTTAGCCTATTAGCTCAGGCTTATTATTAACTAACTCTTACAACTTAAATTAACCAATAATTCTTATCTATGTTTAGCTATGTCACTTGGTACCTTACTCAGTGAGGCATTCTTATCTTGCTTCCTCTGCATCTGAGGTGACTGCAGACTGAGCCTTTTCCCAGAATTCTCTGCCTGGTTGCCCCACTTATACTTCCTGCCTAGCTACTGGCCAACCAGCATTTTATTAAACCAATACGAGTGACAAATCTTTACAAGATTTGTAAAGTACAAATAGTACAAGAGCATTATCCCATAGCAGGGAGGCAGGGTGTCTGGGAAAGCCTCAGCTGCTGCTGACAAAAGCTCTGACAACTAATGGGCAGTCTCAGCTGGTAACCAGAAAGCAAGATGGAAACCCTACACTTTTGCTTATAGGGACATCAATTGGGGTTTGTGCTCCTAGAGTTTCACTGATATTTATGAGGATGTCCTTATGGGATGTCAAGGAACACATGGGCACAGAGAGGAGCAGTGTCGTGGAGGTCTGGACCGGTACAATTTCCTGCTTTGATAAGTGAGATGTCTGATCTCTCTCTCTCTCTCTCTCTCTCTCTCTCTCTCTCTCTCTCTCTGTGTGTGTGTGTGTGTGTGTGTGTGTGTGTGTGTATGTGTGTGTGTGTTTGTATGTGTGTGTGCCCACATGTATGTGCCTGATATGCCATACATATGGAGGTCAGAGAACAACTTTGCAGGAGTAGCTTTTTTTTTCCTTCTACCATGTGCATTCTGGGGATTGAACATTCTGGGGGTTATCAGGCTTGTTGGCAAATTCCTTTAGCCATCTCTCCAAGCTCTGGCTCTAGGTCTTAGACTACCAAAGACTCTGCTGGTGGATCCCACTTGAAAATACTTGCTTGTGTTGGATCCTCTTTCTTCACTCTGTCTCAGGCTCTGACCCTTCTTGGCAGTGACTTCTGACCCTCCTGTCTTGGACACAGATTACAGTCCTTATTCTTTATTCTTTTTGCTATTTTTTGCTTTGGATAACACCCATCCTGATTAGGTTTAAGTGGACAGTGGGTGGTGGGGCAGAGGGATGAACACACACCAGAAAGATATGGATGCCTTCTTGAGGGGAACCTAGGTGTACAGTGCCTGAAGGGATGCTACTGCCACATCCCAGTCTTTCTGGAGTAGAGGGGACACAGCAGCTTTTACTGAGGGGTTGAAGGCTGCAGAACCCTGGGAGCAAGACTAAGGTTCAGTTAAAGATATGGGTGACAGGCATTCAATCAAGACTGTAGCCAGATTTTTTTTTAGGAACACCAGCTCACAAAAAACAATACAGAGATTTATTATTAATTATGAAAGCTCAACCTGTAGCTTAGGCTTGTCCCACTAGCTCTTTTTTTTTTTGACAGATGAGTCTTTTAATAGAAAAAAAATACACGTGCAACAGTAGCAACACACATTTCTTCGAATCCAGACAGCTCCAAGTTTCAGTTCTTCACCTTAGGTGGTGGCCTGTACACACCTACAACCACAGCGTGGTCCCGTTCGTAGGGCTCAAGTGTCAGTTGCTCCTGGGGCTTCATATTCTCCTGCTGCATCTTCTTCACTTCAGATGCAAACACAGCTTCTGCCGAGGCTGTGGAGTCAATGCAGTTTGCCTTAATGGAAATCACAAAGTGTCTTCCATTCCTTAGGAAGGTGTGGGCATTCAGGGCCACAATCCGGGTTTGGTCTGGCTGTGCCACATCGGCAAAGATCACATCCACCATGGCGATAAGCATGAGGTATTTGTGTGGGTGTCGGGCATCTTCAATCACAGGAATAATGTTGGTCCTCTTCTTGGCCAAGTTGATGAGGTCACGGCCAGAACGGTGGGAGAACTCAACTGCATAGACCAGACCATCTGGGCCAACGATATCAGAGACGTGAGAGACAGTAGTGCCTGAGGCTGCCCCAAGGTAGAGCACCTTGGCCCCTGGCTTGATGTGGATCTGGTCTACGCCACCCAGGATTGCTGCTGCCAGCTTGGAACGGAAGGGGTTCCAGGCTCGGTATTCAATTTTATCATCTCCCTCTGAAATAGAGACTCTCTTCTCCCCATACACAGACTCTCCAGGGACCAGATTCTTTGTGACAAGGGCATCCTCCTTTCCGCGACAGATAAAGTCTCCTTCATGCCGATGTGGTTCCACCATCACATTCTTCCCTGACTGGTTTCCTCTCTTGCCTCCCCGGCCACCACCTCGACCCCGGCCGCCCCCAGACTGGAAGCCTCCACCTCGTCCACCTCTTCCTCCATCTCCTCGTCCCCTGAAGCCTCCACCTCCACCTCGACCTTGGCCTCCACCAAAGCCTCCTCGTCCTCCGCCAAAGCCCCCTCGTCTGCCTCGTCCTCCTCTAGCGCCTCTGTCACCACCAAAGCCTCCTCTGCCACCAAAGCCACCCCCACGGGGGCTGAAACCTGGCTTCATCACTGCGTTCTGGTCGCTCGGCTCCGGCAATCAGCGGCATCCCTCACTCCATGAGTCTCAAGTTTTCGCACCCCCACTAGCTCTTATAACTTTAATTAACCCATTTATATTAATACTATAATAATACAATATTACATTTTATATTAATTGTGACTTTTCACCTCTCCTTCATCTTGCACCTCCTGTTTCCACTCTGTGTTCTCTAGTGACTCCCCTCTTCTTCTGAGAGCTCTCTCTGTCCAGAAGTCCCGCCTCTACCTCTTGCCTAGCTATTGGCCATTTCACTTTTTATTAAACCAATCACACTGACACACCATCACACAATGTAAAAGAATATTCCACAAGACTCTGCTGGTCTTGGCCATCTGTCCAGCAAACCATGGGATGTCCAGAAGCTCTGCTGAACATCATGGACATTTAATCAAACCAATGAGAACCTTGCATTTAGTTTGGAAGCGGCAGTCAGTAGGATGCACAAACCCGAGCAGCTGATGCGGTTGTGGACATCAGACGACATTAGTGCCCTGAAACACGCAGGATGCTGATGGCCTGGCCTGCAATTTGCACCAGGGACACCTACTGCAAAAGAAAGTGATCTCCAGCAATGGTTCAGGAATCTTGTCCCCCCCCCCCCCCCGTGGAGGTGGGATATGAGGTGAGAAGCCTTCTTGGGGGAGGCTTTTGCTCACACGATGGGAATGTGGAGCAGGGCATCCCTTGCGGCGCTCACCCCAGTGGACTGGTCACAGTGTGTCTAGCACAATATGAAATGCTCTGCCAGTGCACTCCAAAGAGGTGAAACAAGTTCAAGGCTTCCAAAGGCAAGAGGCGATTCCTCCATCTAGATCTACACAGGAGAGCTGATGTAAGCCCTGAACGCAGAGTCCACCTCTGGCCCTCTCACCCTCGGCATAATCCAGGCTGGAGGACTGATCTGGGCTTTTATTTTTCTGAGCAAGTGAGTTGATGATCTGCATTTAGCAGGAAAATTCATGATAGGTGTACTCAGTGCTGTCTTGGCCTGGAAGTCACCACCAAGTAGTTACTATAGCCCGCTGCTGACAGGTTTTCTCACCTAGAAAAGTCCAAGCCTTTGGCTCTAGTTTGTCTTTCTTTTTCTTAAATATTTATTGATTTATTTATTACTTTTATGTGTGTGTTAATACCGTATGTGTGTGGCACCCTCAGAGGTCAGAAGAGGGTGTTAGATCCCCTGGAGCTGGAGCTACAGGCACCAATGAGCTGCCAGATGTGGTGCTGGAAATTGAACTCGGGTCCCCTGGAAGATCAGCAACCACTGAACCATCTCTCCAGTGCCTTTAGTTTAGTTTTGTTTTTAGTAATGAAACTCCTTCAAGCAGTCACTCAGATTTATAGGAAACAGGAAACAACTCAGGATTTCACCAACTCTGAAACTTTATTTCATAACTTCACAGAGGTAACATTTAATTTTGCAGTCTGTTGATAATAATGGTGAGGCCGTGCCCAGGAACAGAAGCCACATGAAGTCAGGATATAATGGTCAACTGTGACGGTCACATCACTATGCTTGGGCAGTGTTGAGACGCATGTTTCAGAAAGAGAAGTCGTCACAGATGATGACTTAAAACTGCTTTTCTTACTTCAGAAGAGCAGGTTATCACTTCAAAATCAAGTCAACTTGCGGTCACCAACCAGTTCTGGAATATTAGCCCAGATGTGGAAGACAGCCCGTGTAAAAGAGCTAGAAATGCTTCCCGACGGTGGGAGCATCACGGCTGGAAGTCTGTTACATCTTTACTTGTTTCCACACCATTAGAACAGTCGGGAGAGCATGCATTGAGCTGACAACAACTATCACGGAAATGCCAAGGTCCTCAGTTTGTCGAGGGGTTTCTAAGTTCCAAACGTTGCTTGAAGTGCTTAAAAGGCATTGTGCCATTTGATCCTAATGGCCGCCTGTTTTTCGATAAGGAAACTGATGTACAGAGAGACTAAGCAACTTGCTTACACTACACAAGGATCTACCACAAGGTTGTGCATGAACTGTGCCAGCGCTATGCCTGGCACGTAACTACGTGGTGTTTGTTTATGGTGTCCCAGTGCGCTCAACCTGGCACATACACACAAGACGTCACAGCTTTCAAGTCTACGTACGATCACAGAGAGCTTGAAGTATATACACCGATGCCTGCAAATGGGTCAGTCTGGAAACAAGAGCAAACTTGGTGAACACTGATGTGCTGAGCCTTGGTCCTCAGCACACTTGAAACTCCCTGCCCTGTGTTTGAGATTTAAGGAGTTTGAAACACATTTGCTTAACATCAGTCTTCTACAGAATTAAGAAAACACATTTGAATGACACATAGCTAGTGGTGGGTGGGTTCCCAAGATCCGTTCTGGGCTTCTGTCCAGGTATCTCTTCTGAGCATTTTGGTGCTGAGATCATTTGACCCGTTGGGCCTCTGCTTCTTTCTCTTTCTAAAGAGTGACGCAACACCCCCTCCCCAACACACACACCCGAATGCACACAACACCCTACACAGAGTAGACTGCTGCACACATGAAGTGGGATTTATGTGGAACACACTGCATGTTGTGGCCCCCAGTAGGTTGTGAGGTCACTTCCACCAGTTAAAGTCTTCATGGTTCAACAGACCAGAGTGATAGTCACAGCCACCCTGCGCATGTCCAGTTCTGTGCGTGTCTTTGGAAGTCCATCTTTTGCTCAAAGATTTCTCTCTATAGCTGTGTACTCCTTGGTAACAGACTGGGTCAGTCATCCATGGGTCAAGAGACTGACCCTGTGGCTGGTTCTGGGACCATCCACATGAAGTAGAAGAAGGTGTGTGTGGAGGGAGACACACTCAGGTGACATTAGAAACCTAAGGGCACGATGGTCCTAATTCATCTGGGGGAGGAAGGTCTGCCTCCCAGCTCCCCAGATCCCTAGTGTAAGACCTGTGACTGCTCAGCTATAGAGGACAGCTGGGGGAAGCTTCCAGAATTTGCTAATTTGAGACAGGAAATGTCCCAACAAGCCACTCCACCTCATCTTTCAAACCTGTTTTTTTTTTTTTTTAAATAAGGTCAATTCATTCTTCTATGGTATGAGTCAACATTGTCCTACTTGGTGTCGTTTAAGACAGTACATGTATTTGCATGTGTGTGTGTGCGCGCACACGCGCGTATGTGTGTGTGTGATGGCTTGCAGGAGTTGCTTCTCTCCTTCCACCATGGGGGTTCTAGGGAATCAAACCTTCCCGAAGAGGGACCTAGAAGAGAAAGCCATGCCTTTTTTTTTTCCTTTTTGAGTTAGGTATAGGTTTAGCATGGAAAGAGCAAAAAAATTGTCCAAAGTACTAGAGAAAGCTTACTTAGGCTTGGGCCCCAGGCAAAATTACAAGTGGAAGTTACATTTTGTGGTGGCTCTGGAGTGACTGTACAGATCTCAGGGATTCTAGAAAGGAAAAGTACATGATCTCCTTAAAAAGATAATTATTCCTCCCATCTCTTTAACATGGAGTTGGATAAATCTGCCTTCCAATGGGCAGTCCATTAGTCAGGTGATGGGCATGCCCAACTGGATTAACTCTTATATTTTGGTTAGTTTGGAATGTCAGGTCTCTCCCTAGGCAAAAGATAAGTAGATTCCACTCTTCTGATCAAAAGGCAATGGTTTTCTCTTAATGAGGCTTGGAAAAGCCCTGATCAAGGCCACTATAAAATTCCCTCCTCTGAAGAGATAACCCTAAAATCATTTAGCAGATGGGCTAAAATTGGGGAATAGATATAAGCCATTTTTATCATGAAAATCTACTTCTAAAGCGATTTACAAAGTGATTAGTGTCTGGGTGAGGTCCCAGTCCCACCCTAAAGTGTAACCTCCATGAAACTGACAAAGAGAAATCAGAGCTCCTTTGTGACATTCATGGATCAGAGAACCAGGGACACTCTTAGAATGTCCCTACACTGCCTAGCCAGTTTCGTTTGTTTTTTTTTTTTTTGTAAAGATTTATTTTATGGGTGTGCACTGCACTTATGTATGTGTACTACATGTGTGTAGCACCCACAGAGATCAGGAGGTGTTGGAGACCCTGAAACTGGAGTTACGGATGGTTGTGGGCCACCACGTGGGTGCTGGGTTCTGAATTTCTCTATAAGAGTAGCAAGTGCACTTTACCTCCACGTCATTTCTCCCGCTCCTGCCTCACCAGTTTCTATTTCCTGTCCTCATCATCTGAAGAGGTTGGCAAGCGACCTTATCAACTGAGCTACCTGGCTGACCCTGGTGAGCTTAAAGGACACCGAAGTACAGAAGCTTTAGGTATTTTAGGATCTTAGTCTTGCATTTACTAACAGTCTACTTAAGAGTCCACCAAACCAATCTACTCAGAGTCCAGGTGATTTTTTTTCCTCAGAAAGAAGGATTGAGATAGGTCACTAATAGTGGTACACTCTTCTAATCCCAGAACTCAGCTTGGGAGACTTAATGCAGGAAAAGTACAAGCTGAAGGCCAGCCTAGGCTATAAAATGAGACCCTGTCAATATATGTCATATATATATATACTTGCTTCTAATGCTTGACTTCAACCCTGTATATTAGAGAAACCCACTGTAATAAGATTAGCCTTGTCACTGTGTCCACCAGGAGGTGAAGGGAGGGGGAGTGTCTCTCAGTTATTCCTTGCGTTGTCCCAGCGGCCATAGCCCTCTCTTTCCCCTGGCTCCTCCCTGCTCTCATGCTCAAAGTAGGCCTCTTCTTCTTCCTCCTCCCGTATCACCTTCATCAGCTCCAAAAAGGAGGGTAGTGGGCCCTGATCCTTCAGTTCCCGGAGCCGGCACCATAGAACATTGTTAAGGTTGGCTCCGGCCATGACCTGCTCCAGGCGTACCTGGTCAGCAATGTTCCGGGGAATAGCCCGTTTTTCCACAGCCCTCCGGAGCAGAGTTTCCAACCGGAGCACGTAGGCTGAGATTTTTTCCCCTTCTTGCTGATACGTCTTTAGGTATTTTACCTGCGCGGACCTACGGCTCTCCAGGCTCCCAAACACCTGCTTAAAGGCCTCCAAACACTCTTCCACACTGATGGAAGCATTGTCTGCCTGGACAATGTGCATGAGGTCCAGGGCGGGGCCACGAAGACTCTCCATCATCCACCTTTTCTTTTCGGCCTCAGGGATGGGCCACTCTTTTGCTATCTCAGTGGCCTGTTCCAACCAGACCTCGAAGGACTCCTCCTCTGGGGCAGGGTCTGTGCTCCCAGAGAACACTCGAAGCTTACAGTACTTCACGGGCATCAGGGGCCTTGGGGCGTGAACCACTGCCTGCCCCACTAAGTGGGCCAGTAACTCAGGGGATGTGCAGGCGGTGGTAGCCGGAGACACTCCCTCCTGCTTAAGGGCTCGGAACATCCCTGCAACCGTCTGCCCTTCTTTTTCTAGAAACAGGTTCAGTCTCTGGAGAAACTCAGTGTCCTGGTTAGGGGTCTTAAAGATCACTTTCCAGACGCCCCCCTTTCCCTGCACTTCACTGGGGACCACAGACATGTCCGTGTCCTCTGTGAGTTCCAGTAAGACGGCATTGGTGTTGTCTTGCTTCTGGAATATCTTGCCTAGCAGGCGGTAGTTGCCCACACACTTCAGCGCCTCCTGCAGGACCGTCTGGATCTCAGGCTCACCACAGTCCACTGGTATGCCCGTCACCATCAATGCTTTCTGGTCATCTACACTCATGATCTTGCACCAACCCTCCAGCAGGTCCACTGCCATCGTCCCAGTCTCTGCTTTTACACTTAGGCCCGACCCGGCTCCCTCCCGGAGCAGCTCGAAGCCTTGTGGATCAACGCTTTGTCCTTTGACTCAGTCTCAAGACGCTGGCACTTCCCGTGCGTCTTCCTGTGTGTAGTGATGGGCACTACAGTTGCCAGCCCTGTGACTCTGCAGTGGGTTCACTGCTCTTTCTTTCTGAGAGCTGGGGGCAGCTGTGTGGCACTGATTCTTGTCACTGTGAGGCACCTGGAACAATTGCTTTTCCCATCTCTTGCTTATTGTCACTTTGGCTCTCTCCAGTCAGTGGGGAGGTGGCTTCCACTCTAGCTCAAACCTCTGGGGAGTCACACAGCAAGATGGTGAGGACGCCTAAGGAAACAGGTTCATTTTTACTACACAGACCTCTACTTCCCAGGACACACCCACGTTCTAGTTTGGAATGGCACTAGGGGTGGACCAAAGACTATGACTCCCACTGTACCTGTGCCTGCCCACTGTGTTGAACTGTCTTTGCTTACTGCGTTCTTTCCCTGTGGAGACCAGCTTGAGTCCTGTCTCTCCATCCTGAAGCCCCATCAGTGGGTGGGATTCAAGACCTTTACCAGTTGAAAGATAAGATTATTAGGAGACATAGTTAAATACCTGTTTATGTGTTTCAGAATGTTCCTCAAGAATCAAGGAGCCATGTATTCAGTTTCCAGCTCAGGAAGATGTCTCCCACTTCTATATAATAGTCTGTATGTGTCTTCACTTCAGCCAAATCAAGCTGTCCTGTTATACATAAAGATGAATAATGTGTTTTTAGGCCTAAAATCTAGTAATAAAGACTAATGCACATATTAAAAATATAACAGTTCAGTAAAGCATGAAAAAGTGACAGACTTGCACAATTTAATGGAACATCCTAAATAAGATAGTAGCTATATTTTAATGAAGAAAAAGCCCACCTAGTTCTGGGATTGCTTCTTAGTCCACGGAGTACTTGCCTAGCATACAGGCAGGAAGCCTGAAGTTCAGTTCCCAACACCATGTAAACTGGGCTTGGTGGTATATGCCTGTAATCCCAGCATATGGGAGGTGGAGGCAGGAGGGTCAGGAATTTAAAACCATTCTTGATCACATATGGAGTTTGAGGCCAGCCTGGGCTACATGAGAACCATGTTTAAAAACAAATTCAACTGCACCGTGTTTGGTGGCACCCCCAGCATTTGTGGAGAAGAGGCAGGAGGATTGCAAGTTTGTAGTCAGTCTGGGCTACATAGGGAAATCTTGGCTCAAAAGGAGAAGAAAAAGATATAAACAGAACTAAATGGAATCAGTCAAACATTTAAAAATGATTTTTAATGGGTATAACAGAAAAGTCGAATCTCAGAAAAATAAGTGTACTTTGGAGTTAGGAATCAGTCCTCTTTTGCTGTGTTTAGCATGGCTTTTAAGTGTTACACTGGTAAGTTACCAACCCAAGTCTTCCTGTGGTGCTTTCAGTGAAAATGGACTCCACAGCTCATGTCTTCAAATGCTTGGTCCTTAGTTGGTGGGACTCTCTAGGAAGGATTTTGGAGGTGTGTCACTGGGGGTGGGAACTGAGATTTCAAAATCCCACACCAATCCCACTGTCAGTCTCTGCGCCTTGTGTTTGTAGATCAGAGCTCTCAGCTACCACTCCAGCACCATGCCTGCATGCCTGCTGCTATGCTCCCGACTACAACGGTCATGAGCTGGCTCTCTGAGTCTCTAAGCTCCCATTAAATGCTTTCTTCTATAAGTTGCCTTGGTCATAGTACTTTGCCACAGAGGCTGAAAAGTAACTAAGACACTTCCTTATTTAAATTTGACTGGGTCATTCAGAGAAAGGCAAAAAGCAAAAAACCCATACCCTCTACTGAGTGAAGCGTCCACGAAGCAACTTGCTCTGCAGGAAAAGGGGAGACCTACGAATGTAAAAGGGAGTGGTCCCTGTGACAGTATGGTCACTTACTCATGGGACTGAACGTCACAGAGTGCACTTATGCAAGCTAAGATATCCACAATGTCACCAGACCACATGCATTCTTTTTTTAAATTAATTTTCTAAATCAATTTTATGTGCATTGGTGTTTTGTTTGCATGCATGTTTGTGTGAGGGTGTTGAATCCTGTGGAAACGGAGTTACAGACAGTTGGGAGACGCCGTGTGGGTGCTGGGAAATGAACCCAGGACCTCTGGAAGAGCAACCAGTGCTCTTAACCACCGAGCCATCTCTCCAGCCCCAGACCATGCATTCTTATGGAGTCACTGTGGTATGCCAACTGTGGTGTTCGAATGTGGGGCTTGGCGGTGCCTCCCAGAGACCTTTGTAGAGTGTACATTAGGATGCCACAGCCGTTTCTCCCTTTAGCCTGGACGTTTCCCATCAGTCTGAGGGAGGCCCTATGCCTGGACATAACTATGGCAGGAGCTGCCTCAGAAGGAGTTTCAGTCATTCTGGGAGGTACTAAAGGTTGTTCCAGTGCCAGAAGCAGGAGGACAAGATGCTGCCTTACCCTGTGCCTGGGCGCATGGGGACCTGGAACTCCAGACCAATCCAGGCCTGAGATCTTCTTGTAAAATAGGGAGTGAACTTCCTTCTCTTGGTGTATTTGGAGGAATCAGAAGTGTAAAGGGCACCGGAGGGTCTAAGAGTGACATTCAAGTCGGTAGAGCGCTTGCCACCATGTGTGAAACCTTGAGTTAGATAAGCCAGGCCGAGTGGCACGTGCCCATTACCCCAACACTTCAGCCTTAAGAGCTGAAGGCAGGAGGATCAGAATTTCAAGAGCATCCTTGGCTACATAGGGAGTTTGAGGTCAATCCGGGGTTACATACAGGACCTTGTCTCAAAAACAACAAAAACAGCCAAACAAAGGCACTGAATACCCAGGTCCACAGAAAAATTGTCATGCTCAAGTTGGCTAACTTTTGAGGCCTTTCACCTACAAGGGATGGCCTTAAAACAAAACAAACAAACTAAAAACCCTGAGTGTCGGGAGAGATTGCTCTGTGGTTAAAAACACAAGTTTTATTCCTAGCACCCATAGAGTGGCTCACAACCTTCTGCAACTTTAGTTCCAGGGAATCTGATACTTTCTTTAGCCTACAAGGGCTCAGGCGTGCATGTGGTACATGTACATATATTCAGGCAAAACACACACACACATATATATATAATGAAAATTACTCCCCCCCCCCAAATTAATACCCCCCCAAGTGAAACACCCTTGTTATACAAAGGGCCACGCAGGAAATGTTTAGATGTGGGAGAACACAAGCATTTTGTATTTTTCTCATACAAAGGGGGCCCACAGGAACCAGGCTCCGGGGATCAAAGACCCTGCTTGAATCCAACCTGACATATGACCTTAGGCATAGCCCCTCCTAAACCAGTGTCCTAACTTGGAAGGCCAGAAGGATCAAATACCTCATCTCACAGGGCTTTGGTGAAACATTGGAAATTTTAGTGGAAGCTTTTGTTAAAATGCCAAATGCATCGGGTGCTAATGTCCAAAGGGTCACATATGGTGCTCTCAGTTCCTACATAAGTTTGGGGTGGTGTGTGTGTGTGTGTGTGTGTGTATGAACTGTGACTCTCCATCCATCAAGGTATCTCCGGCAACTGGGGGCGTTGGTATCCACATGCAATCCTTCCCTAAGCAAAAGCTGACAATGGAACTGATTTCTTGGTCACACCGCCCTGTGAGAATACACTGCAGCGAACTGTCTCTCATAGACCAAACCCTTTTTCCTTAGTGAGCATGCTCAGATTTCCCTCCAGGGTCCCTAAAGGATGGGCAACACTTCTGCTGGTTTCAACCACTCTGGAAAAACAGAGGGGGCTTAAATCCACCCGAAACAGGACTGCAGGTTGGGAAAAAGCGAGGAAGGACCCAAGATTAGAGTGCGGGCTCGAAAAGCCTCCAAGCTGGGGACCGTGGCTGGACCGCGTGCGCACACGCGCGCGCACACACACCTTCAAATCTTTACACACTTTGGCTGCGCATAATTCACAGCATGTAATCCTCCCCTAAGCCGTGATCGAGCTCTACCCCTAACGCAAAGCGCTGCCGCCCTAGAGAAACAGCATCTGACAGCCGCGGGGCATTGGCGCAGTGTGCAACAGGGGCGGGGGAAGGCGGGACGCCCTGAAAACACGATGTGTCTGGAGTGGGCTCAGTCTGCCCAGTTCCCAATAATTTTGGGTGGTGGTGGTGGTGGTAACCAGGTGTGTGTGGGGAGGGGGCGATGAGTGTGTGTGGTGGGAGATACCAAATCCAGACCCTTTTGGGCCTTTCCTGGGCAGTGGCCAACCTGCAGGACTTGGGACTTTCAGATAATGTTGAGGGTCCTCAGTCTCTATGTTGAGACGCAGTGCTGCGATTCGCAACCTGCATTCTTCTCTAAACCACCAAGCATCACAGGCCTGCATCTTTCTCTGGGTCATTCCTCCCTTTCGCTACGCCCCTCTGCTTTCTTCCTCCCCGCCATGTTGTGAGCCCCACCTTCTAATCGCAGCAGCTGCAAGCAGCGAGAATATCCTCCTTTTTCCTCTGCTCCTTGAAATGTTCCCCCCGACAACCCCCTCCCCATCCAGGTCGTGGGTAAACTGAAGCTTTGGTGTCGGGTACTTGGGTGTCAGGGATCAACCCTTGCTGTTTCCAGGATCACCCCTCCCCAGCGCCTGCAGACTTGACCCTAGGCTCCCCCAACTCTCAGCCCTCACCCGGGGACAGGGGAGCTCCAGAGCCACCTAAGCAATGCAGCGAGGCAGGTGGAAGAGAGGGACTCAGGGTTAGGGTATGCACCCTCCAGTCCTCGCCCAGCTGTAGCTGTCCAACACTCACCCTTGCGCCGAGAGCGGTCTGCTGGGCGGCCGCCGCGCATCCATTAGCGGGTGGAGTGACCGCTTCACTTCCGGAGCGCGGGCTTCGAATGCCCCCCACCCCCTAGTACCCTCCCTTCTTCGTCCCCTCCCCCTGCGTCCCCTCCTTCCCTCTTTCCTCCCTCCTGATCGCGCGTTCAGCCCGCCCCGCCCCGCCCCACGTTGCCGGGAACTGGCATCCTCTGCCGCAGCGACCGCCCGCCCAGATCCAACTTTGCCGCTCGCTCGGAGGTGGCGCGGCGGCGCCGGGGGGCGTGGGCAGGGAGGGAGAAAGCAGGGTCAGGAGGAGGGACCGGGAGGGGTGGGTCGCCGGCTCGCCAGCCCTCCATCCTTTCTGTGCACCTTGCGGTAGGCAGGGAGCGGCAGAAGCGGCGGCGGCAACGAGGGGCTAGTGCACACCCAGCCAGGGAGACTTAGGGAACCACGGACGGACGGAGAGGACCCTCCCCAGCGCCCCCCGAGTCATGGCCGAGAGAAAGCAATCTGGGAAGGCGGCAGAGGACGAAGAGGTCCCTGCCTTTTTTAAAAACCTGGGCTCGGGCAGTCCCAAGCCCCGGCAGAAATTCTGCGGCATGTTCTGCCCAGTGGAAGGGTCCTCGGAGAACAAGACCATCGATTTCGATTCGCTTTCGGTGGGCCGGGGCTCGGGGCAGGTGGTGGCTCAGCAGCGGGATGTCGCCCACTTGGGCCCGGACCCGCACCGGCAGAGCCGGCGTGCCAGCGGGGAGCCATCTGTTGAATCGGGCCGGAAGGTGGAGATCCGGCGGGCCTCGGGCAAGGAAGCCCTGCAGAACATCTACGATCAGGTTGGTATGAGAGGGTGGGGACGGAAAGTGGGGCTGAACCCTGGCATCTCGCGGAGGACCGAGCATCCCCGCGTGGCGGCCGGCACGCGGCGCTTGAAGCTCTGCCTCCCGCATCTGCACGCGCACCGCGCCCTGCCCGCCCCTTCACCGCGCAGGGTGCGGCGAGGCACGGGTTCGCCGGTGGGCGTCTCAGCGCCCACAAAGGCTGCCCTCGCCTCCTTGTGCCTGGGAGGTGGGGAACCCGCGTCAGGGACCAGCTGATCCCTGAGCTAGAGGCGACGAGTGGCAATTGGGGTGGACCACTGTGCTGTTCTTAAATCCTCCCGGGCGGCATCCGATTGCAGCTGTGGCTCAGTGCCCCACCCTTTTTTGATGCAGCTCAAAGAGCGCAGTGGAGGGCTGCATTGAAGGCCAGAGGACTTCCCTGGAGTCGAAGGGGGAAGGGGCTCACATGACTCCTCGGAGTGGCAAGGTCTCCGCCTTGGGAGCGCTTCGCACCAGGGTCCTGTGCTCTGAGGTCAGGACCACGGCCAGCGCCCTGAGCCTGTCACCAGTGCCTGGACTCGGTTCACAACCAGTGAAGAGTCGGGGAGGCCGTGATGTCACCAAGAAAAGCTAGAGAGCCCATGTGCAGAACAAAGTTCTGCTAAGTGTCTCAGCAAGGGCTTCCCAGAGTGCTTCCCCAGCGCTGTTTGGGAGGCACTTTGGGAATGGGGAGAGACTACGTGGATTATATTCAAAGAGCCAAAGGAAAGGAAAAAGAGGATGGGGGGGGGGGGAAGACTTGCATTTGAAGACAAGACTCCCTGATTGCGTTAATGTTGAGACAAAGAAGGCTAGTTTGGTTAGTTATCCGTGGTCATAGAAAATGTTTAACA